AATGTATACTAAATGTATGTAATAATAAATTTTGCTAAGCCACTTTATCAAATGATTTTTATGTAATCAATATTTATTACATGCTATTGCTTATTTATTATTATGTAATTAACTTATTATGTGTAATTTAAAATCTTCATTAACCCTCACCCCTTAAAATATTAGGTAATATCTGTTACTGCCCTTATTGTTCCAAAAGAATAATAAATTTAATCATTCTAAATGATCTGAAATTTTGGATTAATCTAAAATTTTTAGTTCAATTCAGATTTTTTTTAGTTTGGATTAGATTTATAATCTGAAAAAAATCTGAACTAAACTGAAAATTTTTAGATTGACTTTTTGCAATTTGAAACTGAACTGAAGTTAATCTGAACTGAAAATTTTCAGATTAATCTGAACCATTCAGAACTTTACTTGAAGTAGTAGAATTAACAGATTTTTTATTCATTATCTTAAATATTATAAGTTGAGTTTTAATAATTAATTCTAATTCTTTCTTTTTTAAACTTTTATATTCAATATATCGTTCAAAAAAATGTCTAAAAACTAACTTTTTTATAATAAGTTCGCAACCTTAACCTAACTTTAAATCATGTAATACTAACATATGTAACAAATAGGGTTTCACACATAAAAAATTTTTAAGTCTCTAGAATATATATAAAAAATGAAAAAAGGAGAGGTTGTAATACAGATGATAAAAAGGAAGTGATGATATCACATTCGCAATGAATAAATTTACTCTTTATTATATTTTATTAATATTATATTAAATAATATTAATAATTTTTTTATTAAAAATATAAATTTAAATCTTTTATTATATTTATTATAATAATATAAGATCAAATATATATTAAAAAATTATTTATTAATAATAAAATAATAAATTACTAAGTTATATCAGAAGCATATGATTTATGATAATTATTACTATTGTTATTATTACATATTTAATCATTATTTATATTTTTTTTATATTTTGATCATATACTTAATAATTATTTCTTTTCTTTTTTTTTGTCAAAAATTATTTTCTTTATTTTTATACTTACATTTTAAAAACAAATATTTGAAGATTTATAAGATAAAGATGGTATTATCTTTACATTTTTTTTTTAAAAAATATAAATAAAAATAAAATAATTAATAGTTTTATTGATATTTTTAAAGAAACATTATTACAGTTAACTCTTATTATAATGAACTTTATATTCTAGACCTAAACTTCGCTATAAGACTATAGTGAAGATTTTAAGAAATTTGATTGGCCAATTCGCTATAACAAGTGTATGTTTATTATATTTGTTTAAAAAATTCATTATATTAAGAGTTTGCTATATCAATAGTTGACTGTAACTAAATCAAATAATTCTACTAAAAAGAACCAATTATCAATAACACATGAACGATTTGTTATTCTTATTAATAAAGATTTATAAAATATTCAAGTTTACTCTCACATTACTAATATAAATAATAGTACAAAAATTTGGATGAGCCTTTTTAATGCTTATAGAAATGCAGTCAATTTGACGAATCTTTTGAATCATTAGATGATAATACTGTATTGTAAAATCAGCTTTATCAATTCTTTTATGATATTAGAAAATCTGAAAAAAAAAGAATATGTATCTTCTTTATTATATATAGACTTTGTTATAATTGCTAGAGAATTATTTGATATTTTTTATCAAATTAAATTTATCAATATTTATGATAAGCATAAATAGAAATAGCTTCATAAAATTTTTGATGGTTAAATTAAACAAATTTAAGATAATTAAGGTACATCTCATAAGAAAACTGATGTACTTGAAATGTGAGAAATTGAAACTATTATTAATTCACTAAATATACAAACTGATACACCAAAAGGTCTTATATATTATGTCTAATTTTGGCTAACACTTCTTTGTAATCTGCGTGGTAATAATCTAAAAAGATTAAAAAATTTCTGGATTGTTATTAATGAAAATTGCAGTATAGAAGTAAATATATCTCATGAAAAAATAATACAAAAGGTACCAAAATCTATATAATGCTGGTAGATATAATTATATTCTCACAAATCAACTAAATAATTATTCTCCAGTAGCAGATATTTTATTATATCAATCTAAAAGACTAAAAGATTGTAAAACTACTGAATTTTGTTTAAGGATTAATACTTCACAAAAAATATATCATGGTAATTAATTCTGTGATTCTACATTTGGAAAACATTCTCATGATAATATGCTTAAAAATATTATTGCTGATTGTAAAATTGATACAAAGGGATGAAATCTTGTCAATAATTCAATACGTTCAACTGAAATATCTTTATGGATGTTACTTGGTATATCTCATGCAGAATAGATGAATATTACATGACACAGGACACTTACTGGCATTTCTTCATATTCAACTTCAACTGTTTAACAAAGAAAAATAATGTTTTATTTCTTGTTTCACAAAAAGAAATATGGATGATCCTATCCAAATTTCTTCTAAAAATTTTTTTACAAAAAAATGAAATACTTTAATGGAAATTATATCTGAAAATTAAGGTATCATAATATGCTGTACTTATTTTTTTTTACTTCTAATCTAAAAAATTACATATTTTAGGTTTTATTACTGCTTCTCAATTATTTTAACAACAATAACATTATTCATTTGAAATAAAAGAAAATTTAAACATAACAAATGTTTCGTCAAAAATTTCACAAGTTAATATTGAAAATGTTAATATTAAAAATTGCAATAATGTTAAAGTAGAAGTTATTGTTAAAGCACTAGAATAGATAAAACAGATAATATCAGCAATAATGTAAATTTATATAACTATAATATACAATTATTAATATTATAACAATTAATTCTAATGAAAGATTAAGAAAATTGTATTATATGATTGTTAATTTATAAAATTGTTTTTAATTATTTTAATTGCATTAAAAAGTATTAATAATAATTTAAAAGTTTTTTTTTAGTATTAAAATTATTTTATAGTACTTTATTTTTAAATTTATTTGATTACTTTTATTTTAATAACTTTATTTTTTTCAACGATAATTATTTTAATTTGTTTATAAAAGGTTTCTTTATTAAATAGAAATATTATTAGTCCGGAGCGTTAGCGTAGGACTATATAATAATACGCAAAGTGATCAAAACGTCTGCTGATTGGCTTTTGCAATATTTTTTTTTTAGTTAAGATCGTTCCGGACTTAATAACGGTCCCCGTTCCCTAGTATTATTTATGAAAAAACATATAATAATTGTAGCGATAATTATTTTATTATATATATATATATATTATATTAAGAAAATTGTATTGACGTTACTGTAATAAATTTAAATTTTTCACAGTAACTTTATTCGGATTCAATCTGCTAATCTTTGAAAGACTCGTCCGATGGTTCTTGAGCTTTTGAAATGATCATTTTTTATTATCAAGTAAAACATTTCTAAAATTAGATTTTTACATTGACTCCTTTTTTAAAAAAAAGTAACTATATTATGACTTTGAGAAATTCATTAAATAAGATAAATTTGGTGTTTCAAAGTAATTTCTATGCACGCCATTCATCCATTCGCCTTTTCCCCATCCTAATTAAAGTTAACAAGATCAACGGATTAATGTAATTAAGCTCATTTTTTTTGTGTTCAATAATCATTTAATATTTTGTATAAAATAAATCAATTTTTTTTCCTCCCTTCAAAAATATCTTCACAAATTTTTTTTTTTTTTAAAAAAAATAATTATTAATTTTCGTAATAATAATCATAATATTAATTAAAAATGGTTGCCACATCATTTTACGAATTAAAGGCCGATGATAAATCTAAGAAACCTGTCGACTTTTCCGATTTTAAAGATAAAGTCGTTTTAATAGTAAATACTGCATCAAAATGTGGTTTTGCCCCTCAATTTAATGGTTTAGAAAATTTGCATCAAAAGTACAAAGACCAAGGTTTAATCTTATTGGGTTTTCCTTCTAATCAATTTGGTAATCAAGAACCTGGTACTGATGAAGGTTTGTATCAAATATTTTATTTCATTATTTTCCTTCAGAAAATGTTTAACTTTTAATTCTTTTTTTTTTTATAGAGGTCCAACAAGTTTGTCAAGTAAATTTCGGTGTAACATTTCCATTAATGTCAAAAGTTGAAGTTAATGGTGATAATGCTCACGAGGTTTATAAATATCTCAAAAATCAAAAAGCTGGTATCGCAGGTATTAAACAAATTAAATGGAACTTTGAAAAATTTATCATCAATAAACAAGGAAAAGTCGTTCTTAGATATTCTTCAATTACAAAAGTAAGTATTAAAAAGTTCCTTGTTATAGTTGTACAACGATTGCTAACTGATACTTTTACAAATACAGCCTGAAGATTTGGAAAAAGAAATCGTTAAATTATTAAATGAATAATCTTTTATTCTACAACCTGTACCTTAATCATCTAATTTTATGACTAGTTTGAATTATATAAAGTAAATGTCTATCAAAGGTTTATTTCTGTCTTTCTTTTCTTAAATATTATAAAAGAATTGAAATAAATAAACTTAATCCAAAAGAATTTAAGAAATAATTACAAGTAGAAACATTTTTTAAAAAGATAATCGATCTATTTTATATATATTTTGTTAAAAATAAGATTTCCCTAAACAGTTTACTTCTATTCGTTAAAAAATTTAATAATAAAGAAACGTTTATTTTGTTTGTGCATCTTCCAGTAAGTCAAATAATTTTTCCTAAAAAAAAAAGAAAAATAAATAAATTATTAAAAAATAAGTTGATATGTCAAGTCATATCATAAATAATACATAACGTGAAGCTTACCTTGCATACAATTGCAATATCTCCATATGCATGCTTTTGTTGTACATGAATTACGTCTTTTGTATTTAATACCAATAATTCAAAAAATAATTTCACTGCATCTTGTCGCTTTGCCTAAATGTATATATATGTAAATGAATATTAAAGATTATAAATAATATAATAATAAATAAATTAAAAAAATCTATCTCACCGTTCCCACAGCACCTTCAAAGCTCAATATTGTTTGTTTTGGTTTTGTAGAACTTGTTGCATCATCTTGCTTAAGGCATTTGCTCTTCAAAAGTCGCATCGCCTTGACCGTATTTCTACTAAACGAGTTACCGGTATTTTGTTGATCTTGTGGCTCGTCTTGGTCAAAAATGGTTGTCACATTTGGGATGTTCGGTAAGCCTAAAGAAGGTTTCAATAATTAATATTAAATCATCAAAATAAATTTCACGAGGTATCACGAAATAAAATGTTAACCTTCAGTTGGACTTGTACTGATATCATTTTCGAACTATAATAAATTTAACAAATTTAAGTTTAGCTTAGGTAAAGGGACGAAAATACAATTTCTACTAAGATATCGAATCTATTACGTTATCAAAGTGATTGTCAAATTCATGTTCTGACGGCGTTGTGATTTTATCCTGTGTGAGATCTTTCTCTTTTGTTTGCTCCGAGACATCAACATCTTGCGTTGTTTCTGTAAAAAATAAAAACTTCGTAAATAACTAATAAGTTCCATGAAAGAAATCCAAAGCGTAACAAACCTTTATCAAAGTTAGGTGCTTCTGGGACATAATTAGGCTAATAAAATTCAATAAAAGGAAATAATTAAAGGGTTTGGGTCTGTTGTAGTTTATTTACCACAAGTTTATTTACAACAAAAGAAATACTTACTAAAGAGTCATCATTATTATTGAATGTATCTGTATCAATGTTTAACGATGTCCCTGATGGACCTGGTTGCGCATCGTTATCTTTAGATACTCTTTGACGTTTTCGAGCAAAGAGATAACGTAACTCGGGCCGAATATTATGTGGAGCGGTTAAATCAAGAAAATACCAAGCTCCCATTTGGCGGATTTCCGCCAACCGTAATAATTTTCTTGAAATGGGAAGATACGATGACTGTAGGACAGGAAATACATGGTCGATTATTATTAATAAGAAAATCAGATTACTGGTAAATTCAAATTCAATTTTATTAACCTCGATGCAAATATCTGATGTATCGTCTATTTGACTTTTAATATGTCGATTAGGTAGCTCGGTTACTTCGTCCAACACCATCAGCCTTCGTTTCCTACGAACTTGTGTACGTGGCGGAAGGACTCGCTCTTGTTCTTGAAGTTCTTGTGGAGACTCCTGAGGTTCTTGGAGTTCCGTGAGGTCCTGAGTTTCCTGAGGATCCTGAAGACTTTGGGTATCTTGAAGGTTATCTTCTATAAATAATCAAGTAATGTTGCGGATTAATAAAGAAGTAAAAAAGTAATTGCATAAAAATTTATTCTCTTTTTACCTTGTCTCTCTGCACTTTTTTGAGACGCTGGTGAAAAAATTGGACCTTCCAAATTATCTTGAATGATGCTAAAAAAAAAAAAAAAAAAAAAAAATATCAAATGGTCGTTATAAAGCCATATCTTCAATCGTAATAAGAAAATGTAATTATTTACCTGTTTTCGTCGAAATTTACTGGAACATCAATATCCATTCCATCCACATTCCCATGTTCATTAGTGTCCTCAAAATTTTTAGTCAAGCTTGTATCATTTGTTAGCGTATAATCCATATCAAGATCCATATCAAGGTCTAGACGTAACTCGGGCCCATCATCCATTATCATCAACGGGTCGTTCTCCATACTTTTACCAATAACGTCTTCCGCGGTAAGTGGGGCCTCTTTTTGAGCGTCTCTTGCAATTTCAATTTCTGAAATGGATTCATCTCCTTCATGACTATGAGATCCTATTTCATCTTTGCCAGTTGCTTTCTGGTCGAGATCATCATCATCTAAATTCAAATCAAAGTCTCGATCATCAGCATCTCCTAATAAATCATCAACAACATTTAAATCTAATGGCAATTCAAAATCGTCCCTAATGGTGATGTCTTGGGGTCGAGAAATATTTGAACATGAAACCGGAGCTATTTCAGTCCATTGTCTACAAGTATGAAGGTTTATATATTATTTAATCAATTTGAACTTAAATTATAAATCAAAACAAAACACAAGGAACTATATTATATACCTAAGATGCAAACCAAGATCTGGCATAAGGATATCGAATTCTGTTATATTATCAGGTAATGTAATAGATTCAAAACTGGCAATTCTTTGGTCCTCGGGAATATCAACTTCCCCGGGTCTAAATGCCTTTGAAACAAACATCAGCATGAGTATCATAATTAAATAAAAATGATAATAAATATATTTACCATTTTTATTTTCAAAAGAGCCTCATTACAATCTTCTAATAGATATTTCGCTTTACGCGAATATATGCGCGCGACTCCAAGCAACAACTGTCCAGATAATCGTAGAGCCATTGGAGGCTGATCATCTCCAAGAATCGCACCTAACAATTTTTTGAACGAAAATGGTTTCAATAGTTCATGACTGTATAGGATTTAGATCAACTTTTTAAATTAACCTGGAAATAATGTTACTAATACTAATACACATACCTACAGAAGTCTGTATGTTCGTTTGTAAAAACTGAGTTTTACTAAGTTTTCGTTCCCAATGTGCCGCGAGCCATACTTTCGCGAGGGGACCCTATGTTTTGAAAATTCAAATTATGAATAAAATAGTTCTACAAAAAATATTGAAAAGCATGTCTATATTACCTTTTTTGATAATATAGCCTCTGAATAAAACATTTTGAATAATGAATGAGGATCACAAAATTAGTTTGGTTGATAATAGTAGTCTGGTGAGAAATTAACAAAACGTAAAAAGTAGTTGTTATTTAAACAAATTGAATTGACTAAATAAGGTCGACACGCTCTCATGATACACATTAGGAAATGTATAAATTGAAGATATGGGATGTCGATCCGATTTCTCGTGTTTATGTAATTTCGTGATGAGTTTGATCTTTAGATATTTTAAACCGAGAATTCTCGGGAAATCTTATGAAAATATTCGATTTGGAAGAAATTATTCTCTATCTATACAAAATTCAATAAAAGAAGAACATTTTTCTGATTTGGCCAAGTGCTTGCTACTTTACGACTTTTTTTTTTTTTTTTAAAAAAAAAATATATATATTTATATATATATTTTTTTTCACGATAACTTTTTAGAGACCAAGCTTTCAAACAAGTTTTGGACGATATAAATAAAGCTTTATCTTCAGCTTCCATACAGGATTCTTTGTATAATATAGAAGGATACGAAGAAAAACCATATGTGCGCAAATCACCCGAAGCCAGTTTCGGCAGCAAAAGAATCGGTTGGGTAATGTTACCCGATTGGCTAAATGAAGCAGTTTTAGAAACTATCAAAGGTAATTTTCAAACGAAAAGATATCGCTAATATTAATTATAAGTTAATAAATTATCTATACATTTCATAGAACACGACAGGGAAATCATTAAACAAGATGCAAAAAGAATCTATTTATCCCTGCGGTCCACTACTGGTTATAACCCTAATTCTGGCATAGATTTAAAAGGTATTGTTTTAATTCTTACTCATATTGATAACATCGCTTCATTCATATATTATTAATGATTCCTTTCTTTATTCATTCTCTCAAGACCCCATCATGGGTCCATGCAAAAGCGCACTAAATACATTCAAGCGCTTTGCTCAGGAAAACGAAGTCAAACCTCACGTTCTTGAATATGGTAATCGTGAGGCAATAGCTTATCTCGCAGGCTATTTACCAATTTCTTATGGTCCGATTTTCAATGTCCTCACTGAACTAAAAAGCAGAATTCCAGACTTTTCACCACGGAATGTCTTAGATTTTGGAACTGGACCCGGAACAGCAATATGGTAAATTTTAAATACAAATTTTCATGAAAAAATGAGTGTAGCTTTTAATCGATTTTATAATCGCAGGGCAACGCACGATATTTGGGGTAAAAGTGATCAGAATTTTTTGGGCATTGACACCTCCGAATCAATGTTGAGAACAGCGGAGAAGCTGTTATCATGTGTGTGTTAATGTTTTTTTTTTTTTCTAATTCTAATCCATCAAACTTATTGATAAAAGTTTTTAACCATATTCTGTTACTTTAAGTTCATTCTAATAAGGATCAAATAAAAAACATTGAATTTAAGCGATACCTTACCTATGAGCCACACGTAAAAACTCGATTACTTTATTTATTTATTTAGTAGAAATGTCAAAAATTGAAAAAAAAATTTAATCATCCTTTGCAGTTGAAACACGATCTCGTAATTAGCGCATTCGCTTTGAATGAGCTGTTAAACGATAACGTTAGAGAAACTGTTTTGGAATCCTTGTGGAATAAGACGAGCGATATACTGGTAATATTATAAACCTCCTTTCGTTTTTCTTACGATTTTCCTGATCTAACTTTATTTTAGGTTTTAATCGAAAACGGTACTCCGGCTGGATTTAAAATCATAGCGGAAGCGCGTAAGAAAATTTTGAGGATGGCAAATAAACAACAAATGAATGAAGTCGAGTCAATTACAGATGAAACCAGCGATAAAACAAATCGTGGAGCTCATGTGGTCGCACCGGTAAGTTATATGCTTGTGTATTGTCAAGGTTAAATTGATTAACATTTTAAATAAATATTATACTTTTTTAGTGTCCTCATGATGGAACTTGTCCTTTGATAGCTTCAAGAAATTGGTGTCATTTTTCTCAACGTATTAACAGGCCGTATTATCTCGTAGGTGTCGTTAAAAAAAAAAAAAAAATAAGGGATGGGATATTTAAACTAATATTTGATGTAATTTACATTCAGATGAAAACAAAAAATGTGAAGAAGGACAACTTTGAAGATTCAAAATATAGTTATGTCATTCTAAGAAAAGGAAAACGTCCAACACAAATCACCGTAGACGTCGATGAAAAGCGCGGTTTGACGTTTTATAATAAATGTAATGTTCATTCTTTCCAAAAAATAACAATTTTAACTTATTCATTCTACGATATTAAAGATTTAACGGCCGAGGCTTATTATTGGTCACGTTTGATTATGCCGCCTATGAAGCGAAGCGAACACGTTGTTATGGATTATTGTTCAAAGACAGGCAAAATTACTTGACGCATAATGATTTCCAATTGAAGTTTAGTTATTTTAAATGAATTATTCCGAATTTAAGCTGAACTCTTTATATAATAATAATGTATAGGTTATATCGAAAGAGGCATTATTCCAAAATCTCAGGGGAAGACACCATATCGGGATGCACGTAAATCCATGTGGGGTGATTTGTTTCCACATGAACCAAAGAAACCTGCAGTACGAAGGCTCATTTCACAAAGAAGCAAGCAATTAGATGTAAAGAGTCAAGAAAAAGACCAAATGCGAATTCCTAGTGGACAAAAGATTAGTAAAAAGAAAGATCTATCTTTAATAAGAGAAGGAAGACTTAGGAAAAAAGAGCGCGAGAATGATGTAGGAATGGCATCAATTCTCAGCTTATGAAAAGACAGACATTTCCACATAATCTAAACCGATTATGAAATGGCAGACTTCAGATATATTTAAATTATAAATATACATATATTTAAATTATTTAAATTATTTGTAACAAACAAATCATATAATAAAAGGTTTTTAACCCCCGAGATATTTTGTCATTTCTATCATCATTTTTCTTTGAGTACTTCACTAATTATTGGTTTGACTTTGGCATAAACTTCATCTACGCCTTCCGTACAAGGTATCTGCAAAAAAAAAAATTTATGATTAATTCAAGAACAATATTTAATCAGGTGAATTGGGAAATACGTACCGTATGCACTTTTCCAAACTTCCTGTAATGCTCGACAACAGGATAACTAGTTTCAATAAAAGTCTTGAATCGTTTCATAATTGTTTCACGATTATCGTCAGAACGTCCACTTGTTTCACCACGTTTCAAAAGACGTTGAAGCATTACTTCTTCAGGACAATCAAAGAAGAGGACGCAAGTGGCTTCAATGACCTATCAAATATTTGAAAAGAAAGAAAACATTATCTATTTTATATATATATATATATAAAAAAAAAAGGAGAAAGGAAAAAAAAAAACCAACATCTTTTTCAAAAGCAAAAGCTTGATCTAATTGTCTTGGAAATCCATCAATTAAAAATCGATTGGAGTCATTTTCAATCAAGGCTTTTTCGAGCAGTCCAATAGTAATTTCCATGGGAACGATTTTACCCTCCTTAATATATTTATTGATCAATTCCCCATCAGGAGAATTTGGTCTTTCTTGTTCTTTGCGTAACAAATCTCCGGCTATTATACAATCAAGTTAACATTAATCAACTGCATAGCACATGATAAGATGAATAAGAAAAAAAAATTAAATCAATTTACCAGACAAATGAACGAAACCAAAATCTTGAACAATTTTCGCGCATTGAGTACCCTTTCCTGATCCAGGTCCACCTATAATGAATTATGAATGGATTTTTTTTTTTTAAATCAATAAATCTTCACGTAAACCGGATCAAAATTTGTTACTTTTAAATTTATATATATATTGAATGTATTAATTAACCTAATACGAAAATAACTGTGAGATTTTCTTTAGATTTTTTGGTTTCGGAAGTCATGTTTATTTCTTTTTTTCTAAAAAAAGAAAAAAAAAAAAAAAAAAGAAAAATATGAATATAATATAATATACATATATGTATAATTTTTTAAGAGAATCCTTTTGGGTTACTGCATCATGATATGATGACGTCTGCACGTCAAACTGACTGATTGCATGATAAAAAGAGTTATTTTTAATACCTCTACTCTTAACTAAAGTAACGTATGCTGAAACTCCAACAGATAACACTGCTAAAATAGCAAGCGGGTGAGGCCCTTTTGTATTTTGGGCTTGAGAGGATTTTATCTTTTGTCTCTTAACTTTAACCTCGCGATTATTTATGGGACTAACTGAAAAAGCCCGTGCTGACCTATGAAAACTTACTTGTAAACCTTGAAAAATTTTAAAAGAATCTATAACAGTTCTTTGCATAATATACTTGGAACTGGTAAAATTTCACCCCCCTTAAAAGAACTTGAGCTTTATACCCTGATCGACTATCCAATTTCCGGATCTTGTTTTAAAAAACTTTTGTGCAACAGCACTAGACGCAACACAAATATGTTGTGTTCTGTAGGTGCTCATTAAACTTCTTTTTCACTCGCAAACTTGAAAAAAAAATTTTTTCTTAGATCTCTCTTTCTTATTACCTTACTATTTTACTCCTTTGACCTAAAAGATGCCTCTTCCTATAATTAAAGTTCAACCTCATCTTATGAGAATAACTCCAGAAAGAGCAAGAAGATGGTATGTTATTTTCTAAAAAAAAAAAATTTTTTTTTTTTCCGAAACTTCCAACCATATCTAAATAATATTACTATAATAAAATAAAGGGCACCATCTGTCATGGGATTTACTGGAGCTCTTGGTGTAGCAGCTTTACTCTTCGTCGAACCGATCCCAAAAGTTCGTAAAGATATTTTATGCAAATTTCCTATTCTTGGTAAATACTGGAAACCTAAAATAGAAAATTGAGGAGTTCCTAGTAATTTAAATTGTTATTTAGCTACTATTCATTCATTTTTTTTTTACACGTTGTAAAAATAAAATTACAAATATTTGTCTTTTGGTTGGCTAAATTAACCTGAATGATTATATGATTATATTTTGGTTCTAATGAGTTCGGAAAAATAAAATAAAATTTTTTTTTTTGGAAAATTGCTAAAGCTAGGAATTTAAAGAATTTTTTTTTTAAAAAAAAAAATTTCCAATAATGTCTTTTTATCATCTTAAAAATTTACGATAATTTATTTGGTACTATTATTATACTGCAATGTTGTTCGTTAACTCTATAATAAATACGATTTTAAAGAAATAAATTTAAAAGCAGGGATTTTAAAAATAAAATATTTGGTCTCCTGTATTTGGAGTGGCTTGTTGTTTGAAGGTGGCTTGTTGGCTTGCTTTTTCATAATTCATATGTTCAACTGAGTGTGGCGTAAGCATTTGTTGATTTTGACTTTGTATGTTTGAATTCATATGTTGAATTGAATGTGGCAGGTTTAATACTTGGTCAGTCTGAAAATCTGACGTTGGACCGTGTCGTAATAATTTCTACGGTCAAATAGTTAAAAAATTGTCGGATTAATTTACAATCAAATTGCATATAAATTAATGATTTTTTTTACCTGTTTTATGATTTCTTCCTGAGGTGAAGTAAACACTTGCGGACACGAACGAAGCAACATATCTGGTGTTAAAGCATAATTTATAAAACTAGGCTGTTCCCATGTTGGAGGTTGTGAATATATCTGAAAAGAAGTTTGAGGAGCTAGAATTTGCTGCTCATGTCTGTTAATCTGTTCACGAGGTGGATTTAGATGTGAATCAAGTTTCATACCAGGATATTCCTGAGACATGAATAATTGATTACTATCTTGAGAATGTGAATTAGTTTGAGGTGGTTGAAAATCATAAAATTGTTCTTGCTTTTGAAAATGAGGAACCAAGTTCCCTTGAAGTATAGGTTGTGACGACGAAAATGAATTTAATTCATCCGTATTTAATTGAGATACAAGTGGGATTTGAACATTCGATTGGGTAGGATGAAATTGTTGTTCTTGAAGTTTTGTATGTTGTTGGTGTATTGGTTCAAATGCCGGATGGTTTGATAAGGTTGAAGCCAAATTCAACTTTGGTAATTTTGTACCAGTCAAACCCTTTTGAATGGAAGATTGGGATGGAAACATATTTTGAAGTTGTGGAGGTAATAGATTCTTCTTTGGAGGTCGTCCTTTATGCGCAGGAATATTTTTAACGGTTAAACTGCCAGCAGGATAATTACATACAATATCGGAAGTTGATGAGGAAGGAATTGATATTGTCGTCATATCTTCTTGAGAACTTATATTAATTACAGTATTTGGATCAATATTTGTGGACTCACAAATATCTTCTAATGCTTGCTGTAAAATTGTTTGAACCTGATCAGTATGTTCTTGATTGGAACATGCTAAGGAAGCCACGCGTGCGGCCAAAACGATGGTTTCGGCAACCCTCCTTTCGGTTTCTCGAATTTTGATTTTCTTCCTACACGATTAGAATAGTTCGTTTAATAATTAAATGTCATGTGACTTTCAAAATTTTTTTTGTCAATTAGAATGAATTTTGAATACGTTTCAACATAAATTACAACAGATTTTATCAATTCAAAAGTGATCAAATTGCATAAACTCAATTAAGAAATTCAAAACCTACCTCTCTTCTGCTAACCGATTATAAAACCTCCTTTCATCCCAAGGTAAATGTGGGAATTCTTGTTGCATCAATTGTCTTATATCTCCCGTTGGCAATCCGGAACTAGCGTATTCTATAATCCTTTGAAGGGCGCTAGGAGGCCAAGGTACAGGAAGATTTTCAGGTATCAAGTCATGGTTGTGTTCTGCATGCTGCGGATTATTTGATTTCTTAAACTTCCATTGGCTTTTACCTTCATGAATACTATTGAATAAAACGATTCTCCATTTGCAGCCACATCGATTTGAGAAACGCTTCCTTTTGGTTTGCTTGCCTTGCTTCATAGAATCCGTGATACCTTCACGTGAACAATAGATATAAATATGCTAAAATACGTAAAAAAAAAAAAAAAAAAAAAAAAAAAAAAAAAAAGGTAGTAATTCATTATTAGTAAGGTCAGATCAAAAATAATCGTAATAAATTTCGATTCGATCTATTAAAACCAAGAGCGTCAATTCAAATGAAAAGATGTTGTTTTAAAATCATAACAAAATTCTAGGCTCGTTTTTTAAAAAAGAAAAAGAGTTCAACAAAGTGCCAGGCGCAGCAAGGCTTTACCGGAATTTGGAAATGTTGAGAGGCATAAAAAAGGTACCGACCTTACTCGAACTGGTTTCTTGTTTTATCATGAAACCATACTCTCTTGCTAGCTGTCGGCAATACAATGTAGCTTCTTTTGAATTTTGAAATTTCAAAGGTGTAATGCGTGCGTAAAAGATATTCGTCTACATTATCAAGGTCTTTCTAGTTAGATAGGTCATGAAAAAGCAAAAAGCATAATGAATGGAAGAAAATTCTCGAGCGTACCGCGGTCAAGGGAGATGTTTGTGGGTTTACCCCACAAAAACGTAACGTATATAAACTAGAAATCGCGTCACTTTCGCTTGGAACATAAGACATTATACTACAAAGCGTATAACTGAGAGGGGAAAAAGGTCGATAAAAATGAAAGGAATAGATAGAAAAGAGTAAGTACGTAAAAGAAAGTATGATCATGAACGAAAAAAAAAAGGTCAAATTTATAAGGAGATGTTTTTTTTTCGTGTGATTAATTTAGTATGTATGTAGTAAACGTTTTTGAAGGTTTCGTCAGCAAACAAAACGGAGTCACTAAAAGATTGTCATAAAATATATTACTTTATAATAAACTTTAACTTTCAATTGGATAATCTTTTTTTACAGTAACCTATTATAACATAATATATTCTGTCAAAATTGCTCAGAGCTTAAATCCATTAAGGGGTGTATGCATATTCGAGGTACCAATAACTATTTACAATAAAGAACAAGACACTACATATCCCTAGGGTCTCATTTTTGTCCGTACGACAAATTTAAAGACGAAAATGAAATAATGAAATTTTTTTTTCATAATATAATTACTAACATGATATTGTTTAAATGATCCTTCTCAGGAAAAGTGCCAAAGAAAGACGCACTTTGTGAGTTTTCTGTAAAGATGTGTCAAGGGCACCTAGTATTTGTAAATAGTGACGATGACTAACCTTCAATATAGCCTTGAATATCAATGCACGCGCGTAAACACTCAAAGTTCCATGATATAACAAGGAATCATAACGTAAATGACGACAAATTTATTTAACTTGTTTTAGATGGTATTTTTATATGTGATAGTTTCAAAGATTTCTGAAATAAGGTTAGCGCTTTGTCGGTTTAACAAGAAATTCGAACTGTAAACCAACGAAGAACTTTCTTTGGAATTCTTGGAAGGTTCTACAAGTTGAAAGTCGAAATTTTTCAAAAAAAATTTTTTTATACGTCTTCCGAATATGAACAATATTTTAATTTATTGATTGCCCTACATTATGGAATACAAAAAAAATTGTCACAAGATCACCTTAAATAAGGAATGTTCACATTTTTTAATTTAAATAGATACATTAATCCTAGTTTATTCCCAAATATTGCTAGTTTGTGCGATTCCATGTAGGGCATACCGGGAAAACCGAATCAAGAAAAGAAAATCGACAAATTATGTGTTAGCATTGACTTATCACCCAGAATATCCAGGTTTTTCCGTTAAATTTAACTTTATTTTCCGCTAAGCATTTATCAATATGATTCGTACGAAAGATGACCTCCTTTTCTTCTAGTCTTGCTTTGAATTCGCAATTCATTCTCCCTTTTACCCAAATTATTTAACCTATGAATTTCAGATGCAACCTTTTTATCCAAATCATCCTTGGACATACTCTTCGAATCCTTCATTTTCTCCACCTTTCTTTCAAATTTTTTTTGTCCTTGGAGACAACGCAACGTCTTTTTATATTCTCGTTTATCCATGTGTGAAGCTTGCCCTTCCTCGATTATCGTAGGAGATATTTTAAGAGACGGATCGATTTCCAATCGCGCCAATTTTTTTATCAACATGGAATAACTCAAGTCTCCTGGCGTATCCACGTACTCCAAAACCGCCATTGGCGCGTTATCTCCCTCACGGGATCCTAATTTGTGGATGCGTGTGTAACCTCCTTGACGAATCCGATAGCGATCTGCCATCTCATTGAAGAGTTTGGGGATAGTCAAGTCACGTTCCTAAAATGGCATTTATTATATATATATAAAGATGTTCAACCGACAAAAAGCCGCAGCGTTCGAACGATGGCAAATCTTTATATTTGAAAAGAAGTATTTTTAAAAGAAAACCAAAAAAGATTTAATGATTACCCGTAGAAACGCCATCGCTTGAGATTTAGCATGATCATCACCTCTCTTTCCCAATGTTACCATCTTGATTTTATTTATTATATTTCGTTGAAATAAAACGAACGTAAAAAAAAAAAAAAAAAAAAAAAAAATAAATGTTTTTTTGTTGATGTGCTTGCTTTTTTAAATGTCTCCGAATGCTAATTATCTCACCTTCTCGGCTAGTTTTCTTGCCTCTCTTGCCTTTGGTAAAGTGGTCTTTATTCTATCATGTACAATCAAAGAAGAAACCATGTTTCGTAACATGGCCATTCGGTGGCTATGATTACGACCGAGCTTTTTGTGATGTTTTCCATGTTTCATTTTTTAATGTGTTTTGATGTTCTTACGATTTAATCGTTATCGGTTAAAAAATTGAAAACACAAAGTTATTAAATGACGAGAGCACAAGCTGACTTTTTTTTTTTTTTTTTTTTTTTTTGTAGGTTTCATTGAAATATTTTATGTCATAAGCCGCCCGATCGTCAGTTGTGATCAGGTGTGACGCAATCATAATCAAATCTTAAAATTTTTATTCTAACTATTCTAACGAACGAGGTAAAGCAATAAATTGACCGTATTTATTTAGCCGCAATATGTTCATAACGGAGAAATATCGTAGACTTGCTTATAATAAAGTGTTTTTTTTTTTCATTTCATAACTAGAAACTTGTGAAAATGCAAACGAATTTTGAGAACAAGGTTAATGAAACGTACCGCCGGGCGCTCATGCGTGGAGAATTACACTTTATAGAAAGCACCGTTAATAAAGTAACGGAGAATGGCATAGAGGTACTTATATTAGCTATTATTTTAAAGTGTGGCGGGGGAGTCAGAACCATAAAGTTTACTAAAAAGTTACAGTTTGAAATATTTTTGGCTCCTAGCTTGGCCAAAAAACCTAAAGCGCCTTACGAACCAAAGGACGAGAGTCAACCGAAACTTAAGGTGAATCCTTTCTCACCCTATAGTCAAGATCTATTTGTGCAAGAATATGGGAAACATGTCATTTTATTGAATAAATTTTGTGTAGTTCCCAATCATCTCTTGGTCATAACTAAAGGTATGTGATTTTCATTAAATGAATGTCATACATTGAATTAATGATTTTTATTTAAAATCCCGGATGGTAACTTGTTTAGAATTTGAGAAGCAAATGGAACCTCTCAACCAAGAAGATCTGACTGCTTTGTGGTATTGCATGATGCAAATCAAGAATCAACAAACACTTGCTTTCTATAACTGTGGAGACTTTTCTGGTGCAAGGTATTGTTTGTTACAGGAGAAGGAATGGGATAAGACATGTAATTTCTTACTTGTTCATTTAACATTCAATCAATAATAATTTTGATCATTTAAAATGATCAAGTCAATCACATAAACATATGCAGATAATCCCCTTACCAAGCGACATCCGTTTTTCACCTCCAATCAATGGTATTATTTACACTTGTCAACATAAGAAGCCAGGTAAAAAAAATTCATCCATTTCAAATCCAGTTAATTTCAAATCATCATAACTAATTATGTTTTGGTCACATGCCCTCCTTAACCAGGCGAGATTTTCGACTTTACTGAATTACCTTACATTCACTATGTGGTGCTGTTAGACCCTCAAAAATTGAGTGGGCACCTTGGTCATAGTTATCAAGAGGAAGTTGGTCAATATTTAACCGAAACTTATCATTCATTGTTGAACGCCATGATTAAAGAATTGGGATCTTCCCAATCGAGTGCAAGTCCGACTCCTTTGTCATATAATTTTGTGATTACCCACACTTGGATGATGATAGTACCAAGACATTGTGAGAAATATGAGCAAATATCTGTTAATTCTCTTGGATTTACGGGAATGTTCTTGGTGAAGAGTGAGGAGGAACTAGAATTTGTTAAAAAGGTCGGGATATTGCGGATTTTGGAAGGCGTGGCTATACCAAAGAGCGTAAGATCGAGAAATTGAAGGATACGCTTATAGATTTAATTTACCTACACCATTTAAATTATATTATTTTTTTTAAATAAAACATAGTTATACTATAAATTTTGACCATTAAAACTTTGTAATAATTTTCTCAAAATTATTTTATAAATATACATGTATGTTCAATTGCTATTTGTTACACCGAGGTGCACGGACCAGTCCAGTCCCTTAGGGTATAATAAAAAAATATCATGTTTGATAACTTCCTAGCGAATTAGCGAAGACTAATAGGAAATGTGGTGACGAGAAAAATTGCATAAAACCGTTCAGGTTCCGGGAAATATTTCATAATAATAATAATAATAATAATAATAATAATAAGGACATTTTTAAATTTGATCGAAACGTGTAAGAAGATTATTAAACATTTTGATCCAAGAAAGGACCTTTAAAAAAAAACCCATACCGCGTTCGATGTCTTATTAGCTCTTCTTAGACTTATTGAACGAACAACGCACGTTCAGCAATTTCAAAAAGAAGTTGGTTAATAAATCTCACCATAAAAAGGTTTATAATGTTGTGCATTCGATCACTCAAAATTTGCAGGAAATTTTTTTTTTTTTTTTTTTTACCCCTCGCATTAATTAAACAAATATTCCAATTAACGATTTGGATGATCCGAAGCAAAAAAAAAAACCCCCCTCGATCAAAAAATACTTTTAAACCATTTTTGGTCTTTTTTCACGGCAAGAAAAGGTTCTTTTTGGTCAAAAAAAAAAAAAAAAAAAAATTACAAAACTTTATCATACATAAAGTTAACTTGATTAACTCGATTGCAAATCTCGATTTAATTTAATTTAAATATACTTGTTAAAACAGGATTTTTTTAATTTAAGTTTTTTTTGATTCGCAGATTATTTATTTATAATTTACAGCTAATTTAGGATATCGTAAAATTTGCGGTCAAAAAACATTTTTAGCCCATATCAAAATAGGTCATGATATACAATGGTGTATGCTCAGGTAATTCTCAATTATACTGCATCTATTCATGTTCAAGAAAAAAAAAAAGGCTGTGTATGTCTATCAAGAGAATGAATAAGTCATGTACCACATTTTTGGCGTGCGAAATTTAATCGTTTAAAAAAAAAAAAAAAATTCCATTTTAGTAAATTAGTGATAGATAAGTAAAAAAAAAACCATCTCGAAAGTCAACTGATCTAAAAAATTTTCAATATAAAAGCGTGCCAATTCAATTCGGAATTATTACCATCAAAAAAAATAAGAAAGAAAAAATATATAATTACTTTTTTTTTCTCTTATAACGTTCATAACTTTTGTCATCAATTAAAAAATATGGATTTCTTGAAAAACCTCAAGAACCACTTGGATACTAACGGAACAAGTGACAAGCCTGTCATCACTTATAGCACGACTATAATTACAAAACGTCTCGAAAATGGTACATATCATTTATTTCCTTATATTTTCTTTTTCGTTTTTAAGGAAAAAAATAAAATAAAATAAAATAAATTTTATTTATAATAACAATAGGTGTACCTGTTGAAGTAATAACTAAAACTTACGAAAGCAATTCACCGATCGAAGTAAAGCTTCCCGAAGGAAAAATTGAAGTAGTAAAACCACCCGATGCCAATAAAAGACCCGATGAAGTTGATTCCGATGAACCCGAAATGGATGATAGCACTGTAGGTTACAAAGGTGAAAAAACTGATCCCGCCAGGTTGGTATAATTTTTATTTTATTTTTTTTTTTTTTCCTATATCAAGCTTTCTTAACTTTTTATTTATATATATATATATATACAGTCGATGCTCTCCTGTTGTCGACGTTGACGATTTCAAGAAACATCTTGATCTGACTGGTAATTCATATAAATAATTCATAAATCACGTGTTAATTTTCAAAAAAAAAGCCCGTTTTTTCGTTACAATGTTTTATCATTTTTTCTAGATCATGATTTTTCCAAAGTCGATGCTTATGCCAGAGAAACTCCGAAAGCTGAAGCCGAGAACGCCGCACGGTTATCAAAATACCTTACCAAACCTTGGAATAATGAATTGGATAAATTGCGTTGCATCTTCACATGGATCGCCGATAACGTAAAGTATGATACCGACGCGTACTTTGGTGGCAATATCCAACAGTGTGGTCCAGAAGACGTTTTGAAAACACGTAAAGCGGTATGTGATGGATATGCCGAATTATTTGATAAATTAGCCAGCGACGCAGGATTAAAAGTTTGGAAAATAAGCGGACAAGCTAAGGGTAAATATATAGATATATATATTTAAAACTGGCGATTTATTTTTTGATAATAACGCGAGATTATTCGATTATCTTTTAAAAGGTGCCGGCTATACACCTGGTTGTGACATTGATAGTCGTCAATTCGCTCATTCGTGGAACGGTGTACTTTATAAAGGAGAATTTCTCTTGGTTGATAACACGTGGGGAGCCGGTATTCTTAATGGAACAGAGTTTGAAAAACATTTCGAACCGTTTCATTTCCTTTGTTCTCCAACTCAATTCATTTATAGTCATTTTCCAGAAAAACCAGAACAACAATATGTAGAACCAAAACTTACCAAAGCAGAATTTCTTGATTTACCGTACGTTAAGCCAAAATTCTTTTCGTCCGGTCTAGGGTTCGTTAAACATCTCGGCAATGAGATTAAAGTATCGGATGATAAAGTTACCATGGAAATCGAAAGGATTCATCCAGACGAGAGTAAACCTTTACATGCTACTCTTGAGTGGAAGGGTCAAGAATTGACAGCATTGATTCAAAGGCTTGCCACACCCGGACCAAAAGGTGGTAGAAAGTACAAATTGTCATGTACTTGTCCAAGTAAAGGCGAAGGAAAGTTTAACATTTTTGTCATGTTGAAGGGTAATGAGGTAAGAATTATTTACAATATTATCTCTATATATATCAAGATATATATTAACAGGAAAATATTTATTTTTTCTAGGGTCCATTAGTGTCTTCTTTTATAGTTAAAAATTCCGGGTCTGGTAAACATTTCACACCTTACGTAGATACTTATAGTGTACCGTTTAGTTTCACCATTCAAAATCCTATTCATGCAAAATTACCTTATAATGAACATGTCAAATTTGAGATCACAATATTTGATTTATCCGAATCAGAATTACCTTCTTTTGCATTATTTTTACCGGATAAGACCACAAAAGATCTTCCAAAAGTTTCAAGTACAAGCGATAGTTGTACTTTTGCACTTGACACTTGCGTCGATAAAAAGGGTAAATGGAATTTAACCTATTGTTCGCAACCAAATACTTTTAATTTTATTGCTCAATATAATGCCGAGTAAATTATTATTATGAGAATTTTTTTGGTGATAGGATTCCTTATTTATTTTGAACCAATTCATACTTATTTGTATTTATTTATTTTATTTATTCATTTGTATTTTCTAAAATCATTTTTTGTAATAAAGAACTTATCAATTGTCTGATAAACCTCCCTTCTTTAATATATTTTTAAATATATAACGTCTAATACATAAATTAAATCAATTTATTTAATACTGGCGTTAACAACAGTTGGTACAGTACATATGCCCTTTTCAGTTCTAAGTAAATGGACACTTTTGTCCTCACTTTTGACCCATGATGCTTCTTTGTTACTAGTTGTTATTAATCCAGGTTGTAAAGTTTCCCATACTTTCTTCTTTGGATTTAATACAGGTTCGGGGCTCCCTTCTATAATGATAATTAAATTTGAATTAGAAATACTTTATCCAAAAAAAAAAGGGTTTTAAAAAAAATGATTTGTACCTTCATATCCCTCAAAATATGCTCTATCGCCTGGCTTCGACCCTGGTGGTGGGTCAACAAGTTCAACATTGCCTTCAGCTGATGTCGCTGCAAGAACCATTGCAAATGATTTGATTCCGCGCATTCTAATTTTTAAATAGCACAATGTTTTATAAAATATATATATATATATATATCTGATTTTAAAACGAATTAATTACTTACGCAGCTGGTTTCAAATTGCAGACCAATACAACGTCTCGATCCTTATAAAAAGGAGCTAAATGTTATTATGATGAAATAACTCATTCATGATATTTAAATAACCAAGACGAACCTGCATTTGATCTAATGGAATATATTTAACTAAACCACTAACTACGGTCCTCGGTTCAGCTTCACCAACGTCAATTTTTTCAACATATAGTGAATCCGCATCGGGATGTTTTTCGGCCTTGATAATATGTCCAACTCGAAGATCCAACAAGGAAGGTGAAATAACCAGTTCTACGGTAGCCTCCTTTTTATTTTCCCTCTTCTCTTTCTTCTCTCCTTTTTTAGAAGCTTTTTCAGCTTCCTTTGCTGCCTTTTTATCTGATTTCTTACCTTCTTTAGTGGACGAACCAGCAGCAGAAGCTTCAATTGCTTCATCTCTTTTTGATTGATCTTTAGATTTTTTAACTTTCTTTTCAACCTGCAATCAAAAGACAAAATGCTTTTCATTAAATAAATCCTTTAAAAAAATAAAATTTTGTAAAACAATGAAAATTTTCATACCTTTGGAGCTTCCAAATCGATTTTTATAGTATCCAACCCGCTTTTGGGACCTGACTCAGAAGCTGCGGTATTTTGGATCAGATCAAACCAACGCGTTAAATTAGGCAATTCAAATCGTTCTTTAGAAGATAATTTAGCCTATTGCAATATAAATCTTGCTAAATTTAGAGACGCGATTTTAGATCTGAAAACAAATTTTTTTTTTTAAAATAAAAAAAAAACTTTATTATGCTCACCACGAAATTATAAGTTCGGGCAAACGCGACTAAATCCGCCACGGTTAAATAATTTCCAACGATATAAGTACGAGTGGTTAGGTGATGATTTAACTCCTATGTGATAACGTGATAATCAGATTCAAGGATCAATTAATTCAACAAAACGGATAAATTTCAAACCTTACATTAGCCACTTTGGACGAATCTTTATCAGCTTCTTCGGTTGATTTGATCCATTTTTGAACCTATGAATTATCAAAATTTTCATTTGAACGAAAATAATTATTATAAATGTCAAGACATAGTGTGTTAACTTTTACCTCCGTCTTATCAGTTTCATTCTTGACCTTTAAACTAGGATCAAAATGTTCAACTAAACTATTGACTACAGAAGTGGTTCCTGTGAACGTGTTACCATCTTCAAGCGTTAAAGTTGAATTCTAATTTAAAAATTAAAAACATTTTAAAATATAATTTTTTAATTTATAATGATATACGATGACAAAGGATAATACCTCAACATTAGACTCCTGAAGTGAAACATTAGGTGGAGCTGAATAATTGTATACCAGTTTCACGGTTAAATCGTTTGATGAAAGTGTTAAATTTGCTACCATCTTTATTATTTTAGTGTGGTAAGAAAAAGATGATGATAAAATTTTCCTGATCATACCGATCAACAAATTGCATATCTTTCATGACGCGACAATCATTTGTAAAAAAAGTAAAGTAATAATTTATTAAAAGGATGGTGATTCAAATGATTCGATTAAGGAAGCGTTAATCTTTTTTGAAAAACCCCTAGTTTTACTGATGATAAAAGAGAGTGGCAAGTGTCCAATTTATGAAATGGTACTCTTGATTTTGATCATATTATATAGTGTGGTTCATATGCTAACAGTAATAGAGCGATGATGCTTGCAAAAGTCATTGACAAAAATTGGATAGATAAAAATAGAGGAACGCTTGAATGGTCTGGCAAAAAAAATGAAAATTGCCCTCCCATAATATATGTATAAACGTCATCATGTATAATTAAATTTTACATTCTCGTAACAACGTATATTGTTAATAAAATCCATCTTGCTTGAAGCTAGAGTCTAGAAGTTT